TGTTCAGTAGCCTTGGATGAGTTTCTCTTCCGTGGCCATGTGTAAGTGGGTGCAGACAGATGTGCTCGGGCAAGAGGCCGGCGCGGGGGCAGTACGGATTTTCGGGAGGGTACTGGGGAGCGGGAACGCTCGCTCCGTGCGGTTAAACGTTACAGGCTGCAATCTCCACTCCCTGCTGGGCCCTGGTTAACTGAGCAGCTCACAGGTGCTGATGCGAGCAGCTCTGTGGGGCCCGTGATGCCCAGGAGAGCTAAGCTTGCAGCCACGGGCCAAACCCTGAGTCCCATTCCCCTCCTTGGCCTCCCCACCCAGGCTGCTGGTGTCCTGCAGGAGCTCAGGGCACTGGGCACATCCCAGCTCTTACAGAAAATCATGGGAATGTTCCATTCACCAGGCAGTTGTTGGTCCATCACTCATGGTGGCCAATGCCAGCAGGACAGACAGAAAGCCCTGTGCAGTCGAGACAAGACGCTGCCCTGCGCGGGGCAGGTCTGATTTGGGTTTGGAGTGGTGTAGCCAAAGGGCTGTGTTTGCACGTGGGGGTCTCTGGTGCCAGCAGCCGGGGACTTGCAACCTACCTCTCTGCCTGGAGACAGCTTTCAGGTCGCAGGTGTGGGCGGGCAGCTTGCAGGTGTAGAGCCCCAGGCAGCCGCCGCAGTCAGAGGGCTTCTGGCAGGGCCGGGACTGGATGCTGTGGCAGGAGTGCTGCAGAGGAGGTGGGGAGAGCAGTGGCCATGGTGCTGGAGTCCAGCCTTGCCCGGCCTCTGGCCCAGGACCTGCTCCCAGGCAGGTCATCACTGCCCTCACGCTGCCGCGAGGGGCCTGTGCCGTATACAGGCTTGAAGAGAGACTTTCTGGGCAGCCTTGAGGGGCTCGAGGGCAGCTTCTTGTAGACTTAGGTTTCCTTTTGGGTTGTGCATGCCCCACAGCTGGTTTGTTGGTGACTCTGGGGTGGTGTGAACTGCTCAGCCCCGGGCCTGTGCTTGCCATGGCTGTTACCAGCAGTGCGATGCTTGGGGGTGAGATGAGCTCAGAGAGCCTCTTGGTCCCTCCCAGATGGGCAGGCCAGAGAGGCTCTCACTAGAGATCCTGCTTACTGCCCATGTACACGGCCAACAGCTCCACTCTGAGCTTCACCAGGTACCAGGCGGGATTTTAGGGTTGGAGTTGGCCTCTTCCCTCATCTGCACCACATGCCAAACAGTGCCAGGAGACTGTGTTGTGCCCGACACTTTCAGCTCATCAGGAATAGCCTGAAAGTGGCTTTTCTACCTGGTGTTTGCAGGGATGTGGCACACGTGGCACCTCCTCCTTCTGCCCTCAGTCCTGTCTGGTTTTTATGTCCCCACGGTGTCACAGGGACTGCCGGGCAATGAGGCTTTTTGAGGGTGTGCACAGGAGACCCAGTTTTGAAACTGCAGAGCTGGCTGGGGTGCTCAGGCAGCTACCACTGACCTGACGGCAGATGGTAGCAGCCCATGGGGTCACTGTGGGTGCAGCAACCCTCTGCCTGTAGGGGAGGTGCCACTCCAGTCCTGCTCCCCCAAAGCCCCAGGCTTGGCTGCCTGACATGAGCATAGAGTCAGACAACTGCAAGCATTTGGGTGGTAGTGTTACTCGGAGCTCAGGTGATGGGGCTGTGCCAGGAGGGTGCTTTGCTTTCCCTGCATTGTGGGGCAGTGATACATTTTGGGGCTGTCCAGTCTGGTTTTGGTGTCTCTGCTGCACAGACCTGCCAAAGCTGCTGCTGGATCCCTGTTACAGCAGGTGCCGGAGGTCAGCGAGATTCCACCCACCCTGGAGAAACCCGTGGAGCAGCAAAGTGGGGGAAGGACCCATTTCTTCAGCCCTGGCCTCTTCATTAGAACAGGTAACACCATTACATGGGGCCCCTCCGTGCCCTGCAGGTGGGTCAGCCGAAGGAGCTCACCAGGGGCTCACCGAGCTGCACAACCCCAGGGTCAGGAGTGGGGGGCTGGCACCTCCAGTCTCTCCCAGTCCCCCCGCAAACCCTCCATGCAAACCCCGTACTCGCTGGCCACGCTGTGCTTACCGTGTCCTGGTTGAACTTCCCATGGCCCTTCAGGTGATGGCTCAGGTCCAGGCTCCTGCTGCGGGAGGGCTGTGGCAGGAGCCTCCGGGGCTTGCCGCGGGGTTCCTGCTTGCCACTGCCCAGCAGCAGCCTGGCCATGGCCTTGCTGGGGGACCCAGAGCTGGGGGAGGCCTCTCCTGCTGCCTCCCTCGCACCCGTCAGGGGTCGGCTCCCCTCCAAGCCCTGCCCAGGCAGGTTGTTCCCTCCATCTCCAAGTGGCCAAAGGTCTTCTCCAGGGCCCCCCGCTCCTGGCTGCCCCTCTGGGGTGCTGGCCCGGGCCCCCACTGCCTCAGATGGTGCTGAGGCTGAGGAGAGCAGCACCAGGAGTTGCACAGTGACTGTCAGCGCCTGGACCTTCATCCTCAGGCCTGGCTTTGCTTGGGGTCCTGCTGTGCTGGCAGTGCTGTTGGAGGGAGGAGCAGAGGTGGTAGCTGCCTCTCTTCCCTGATGCTGGATCCAGCCGAAGTCATTTTTATAGTGCAGGGACCTACCCTAGGGGCACAGCCTTTTTCCCCCGCCCCTGCCGTGTCCCACCTCCCCGCCTGTGAGCAAACCTGACTGCTTCCATGGGCCCAAGCCCCCTCCCCTGTGCTCCCAAGCACCCCAGCACCCTCCTGCCACGGCCACCCTGTCCCAGTCCCAGCTCGGTGACGGGTACGTGCATGCCTGCGAGCACAGTGTGTGAGCTAAGAACGCTTGCAAGCAAGGTCTTTGTAAAGGCGGGGAGCTGCCAGTAAAGGTTTGTGTGGGGGAGAGGGGGTGTATAGGATCAAAATGGGTCTCTTTGGCCTCTGAAAAGGCAGCTCTTGCGTTTTCATTTTGGTTTCCTAAGGAAGTGGCACTGATGTGATACAGCTTTGTCAGTTCTCTAGCCCACTCCTTGTGCCTTCTCAGCTCTTTGCCCAGTTTTAGCCAAATCTGATGGGAAGGCAGCAGGCTCAGAGGTAAGAAGTTGCCACAAGTCTGGAAAAAGTGGTCTGGATAGAAGGAAGACACACAATTAATGCCTCCATCCATTGCAGTGGGAGCTCAGTATTGGAGAGCAGAGCCTACCTGGGAGAGTTTTGTTTGGCTGAGCTTTGATTGGCTTTTGTGCTGTGTTAGATACCAGTGATCTGCTCCTCACTCAAGGATCCTCTCCACTAGGTGTGCTCTGTATGAAATGAAAGGTGAGTCTGTACTCCAGGCTTACCATCCACCAGGTTCAAAATCAAGCCAGTGCCAAGACCCAGCTCCACTGGAAATGAGTTTGTGTTCATCAGACTGTTGGCTGATAACCCACAGCAACTGCAGCTGCATCCTGTGCACACCATGTGCTGGGAGAGTGAGTGACTTCTCCTCACTGTTTCCACGAGAGATGCCCTCGCTCCCTAATACTTGTCCATATTTGGCATCTCTCTTGCATGAAGAAGGGATGACACCCTCTGTCATGTCACTACCTCCCTGTCGGCACCCTCTTGCCCAAAAGGCTGGAGGACATCTAGAAGAAGTATCTCTGGGAGGTAAGTTACACAACAGAAAAGTGACAAGCTGATTTCTATAGCCAAGCTGGATACATTAGCTAATTTTCAAAAGGCTGTGGACCAGGCTTGATTTGTATAAAATTGGTCTAAGTGTAGACATCCTTGCTAATAAAGGTGCTGGAGAGCTTCAAGGCAGAAGGATAATCATGCAGCTTCAGCCTGGGCAGGGTCAAGGAAGCTCTGCTCTGTTCCTGTCTTTGCTATGAACTGTGAATTTGGCAGAATCATTGAAGCTGCACGGCTTGTGTCCACCTATAAAGAAGGGCTGTGCTTTCCTCCTCCCTGGAAGAAATGTCCTTAGCCTGAGCTTTTGTGATGGTACCAGGAGACTTCTTGTTCCAGAGGGAAGGGAAGATGTGACGGAACATTTTGGTCCCAGCACGCAGTGCTCTGTTAGGATCATATGCCTGCCAGTGCTCTTCTCTAGCCAGCCACACGTGGGAAGAGTTCTCTGTCAAGTAACCAGTGGTTTGCCAAGTGGTCAGTGATAGAGGCATGGTGAGAGGGGCTTGCTCTCTTTTGCTTCAGACTCAACGCTTTAGGCTGAGGAGGAAGGAAGTCCCAAGTTCAGAGAAAGGCATGTGGAACAAGGGGCAGTCATCTTTTAAAGACCACCAACTGGCCCCTGGTTACCCCTCTTTGATTAGTCTGGCATGCTTTCTCCAGGGGCATTCAGAGTAAGAAAGTGCAGCATTGACTGGCTGGCTTGGGAAGACCAATGGGGTTGTCTTACAGGGTTATGTGCCTGTCAGCTACACCTTGCCACAGGCTGTGGTCCGTGGGAATAAACAGCAAGAGAGGATATTGCTGCTGGGCCCACCTGAAGAGACGTGGTTCTGAAGATCTGGGAGACAATGTCAGAGGGACTACCATGATAATGGACAACAGTGACACAAGGTGGAGGAAAGGAAAATTCCCTCAATAGAAAATCTAAAGGACTGGAGGCCTTGCTTCAGGCAAGCAAGAGGTCTGTCTGAAAGACCAGAAACCAGGTTTTCTTTACAAAGAACTTCCCGGGGTTTGGTCCTCCTTCCCTGTGGGTCTACTCAAGACCAAAACAGATGACTGTTCCCATTAGATGGGAGGGTGAGATACACTATGAACAGGTAGTAGACAAAAGAACAAAACTGTGGTTGTTATAACCCACCAAATGTAAAAAAAAAAAAAAAGAAAGAGAGGAGACAGCAGGCAAACATAAACATGAACAGTGCAATACAACTTGTCACCAAATGACACTTCACCTCCCGAAAGGCAGTGTGCACCAAAAGCCTGAGTCCTCTGGTCAGCAGCCAGCTTTTGAGCTCAGTGCTTGAAACAGAGCCCCATACCTGGAAATAGCAATGCTGGGAGTGCAAGGACATGATGGATGGGAAAGCCACGGTACCCTAGTCCATCTTCCATACCTTCACCTCTGGCCAGCTCCTGCTCTTGACTTGCTGCTGGCTGACACTGGAAGTGCTGATTTCAGGGGAAATGGGCTCATAGGAATGGAGAGACAAGTGTGCAGCAAGCAGACCCATCCGCACACAGGTATCTGTATCATGTTTAGCCAGCACCCCCGCAAGGATTCCTGCCGTTAAGCTGTGGAGAGAAAGAAAGGCGGTTTTGAAGACTAGGGGAACAGCTTTGACCTTGGGAACGTGGCTGTTCATTTGTAAGGGCATTCATTTGGACCCAAACCAACACTTACAGATGCAGAATATAACACAGGAGAGGTGAGGTTATAAGGAAAAGGGTTTGCTTTTTTATATTTATTTTTAAATTTGGAGTAACAACTAGTGCTATTTATTTGCATTTTATTTGCTTCTCATCTGAGAAGTTGAGGTACTTTCCCACTCCACCACATTTTCTATTCTCCCCAGTTTTTCAAGTGAGGCATGAGAAAAGAAAGGAATCCAAGAAAGGAAGAAGTTGTTTTTCCCTTGCTTCACCATTATTTTGTCACTTCTCTACTCTGTGTTGGCGCCACGTTACATTCCCTCCTGTCCCCACAGGGGTGGGTGGGAAGAGAGGTGGAGTTTCCACATGTATGTGAGAGGGGCAACAGACACAGCTGGAGAAAGAAATCCAAAGCTGAAAAATTAGATTGTAGGTTCAGATTTTTGTAAACTTCTGCTATGGTTTTCCATCTGAGATTTCCCACTAAAAATGATGTGAGTGTTTGGAACAACTGCAGTAACCCACAGGTCCTCACAAGGTATGGAGGAGTCCATCAGGAGAAGCAGATGCCTTTGCCATCTTCCTGGCTTGCAGGGGAAGGCTCTCTTGAGGCATGGAGAGTACAGGGTGGTGTTTGTGGTCAAGGGGAACAACTACTGTTTATTCATAGCTAAATACAGCAATCGTGCTCAGAGGCTGGGAAAGGACAAAGGAGAAGTGGGAGAGAAGGCAGATGATAATGACATCTGAGAGTAAAAAGAAAGGGTAGGAAAATGTGATGGCAAGGAGGATTAATGAGCAAATCTATGGGGAAGGGATAAAGATCACCTTTTTGTGTGTGTGCTCCAATTACCTCAGCATCTTTTTATGCATAACAAAGGCACCCAAGATTACGATTTCCAGAAACCGTTCAATCTCTCAACAGCTCCAGAAGTTCAGAGTAAATATTTGGGGCCATCCCCTAGCGATGCTGTGTGCGGGCAGGCAATGTTGTGTTGCCAGGGCGCAAACAGCCGCCGCTCCCCGCGCACGCACGGCTCCCAGGCAGCACTCCGCACCCACAGGAGCCACGGGGCGGAAGGGAGGCGTGGGGTGCCCGGGGTCCTGCCTCTGCGTGCGTGTCCTGCCTGCTCAGACCTCTGGCCCCTGACCGGTGCTTCAAAAGTGGGAGGGCTCACAGGGCCTGAGCCATGGACGTGTTGTAGCCCTGGGTTGTACCCATCTGCGTAGTCCCTCCAAAGCACCAACAGGCTGGGCTTAGGCAACTTCACCAGCAGATGTTCTGTGGAGATGGCACATGCATCAGCATAGTGTCCTGGCATCTCCAGCCTGTTCTGGCACGCTTACTTAGTAGGACAGGGATTTCTGCAGCTCAGTGAAGCAGCCATGGTTACCAGGAGAGAAAACCCTGGATGAACAAGAGGACTATGAAAAGTCCCACATGGACCTGGGGACTCTGGGGAACGGGCTTTCTAGACCAATACTGCCTTAGGAAGGATCCAGTAATGGGGCCCTGGCTTTCAGATAGCTTTGGAAGGAAAAACAAACTTCAAGTATTCCTGTCTAACTCTGAGATGTTTCGCAGTACCACGCTTTATCTCAACTTTGGTCTTCCCTTAAATTAAGCTTTCAAAAAGAAAAAGAAAAGGCTAAAGAAGATGCTTAGTTTCTGTTAGCCTCTAGAAAAACTTGTCCTGTGTTAAGGGGGAGTTGTGTACTGAGAAGATGCTGCAGAGAGGAGGCTGTGTCCCAGGAGGGGCTGACAGAGGTTGGGCAGATCTACAGGAAGCCATGATCAGAACTGAGCTTTCCTTAGGACAGGCTGACTCTGCAAGGTTCTTCCCAGCCCTCACTCCCCTGCTGTTACACTCGCTGCTCAGAACTAAACTTGGATCTCCTTTGGAGAAGACCAGCTTGCAGCTGCAGTCAACTCATCTCAGAAGTGACCTGGGACATAAGGAGTGGTGTCCTGGTGTTAAGTGGGTTAACTAGCTTGGCAAGAAGTTATTGACTGATCCTGCCTCAAATACTGAGGACACTGTAAGTTTTAAAAAAATTACTTTTCATTCTGCCCACTCAGAAAAGAAAAAAGAAAGCACAGCTATGGTTGAGTTATTGGTAGGTGAGAGTAGAAAAACAAAAGGAAGTATCTGTCACATACAGCCTTTTGGTCTAGCCCAAAGCAATAAAAGAGCGGGATCAATTATTGTTGCATATGAAGCAAAAAGGAAAAAAAAACCTGACTACTATGTATAGTTTGATGTGTTAACAAGAAGCATAATAAAATACTACTCTGACATATTGAGAACTGATCAGTGGGGCTATGAAGAATACCTGTCATTTCCTACTCCTGTGTACAGCGCTGTGTGAACAGCTAGGTGAGTTACACAGCAGACTCATTTGAAGCACAAGCTATCACCAGAGGCAAGGGCAGAACCTGATGAAATGCTTCTATAGGGCGATTTTAGCTACTGAGTGGCAGTCCAACTTCCGCTGGAGAAGTGTGGAAGTAAAGTAGCTAGTAAGACAGCTTTGATGTAAGTTGGTTTACTTTGCTTTTAGCAGCTCAGCCCAGCCTAACTCAGAATTAGTAGATTGCCATGAAAGGCTTAGATCTTAAAGAAAAACTAATAATGGTACAACTACCATCGAAGACACTTAGAGTGGCATTTTTAGTGAGCTTTGTAAGGAATCACAGTAACCAGTCCTGTTCTTGTGTGCCTAACGCCTGCTCCTCAAGGAGCAGAATGTCATTTGCCTTTGCAGCAGAATTGCAAAGAAATCTGGTGATGGCCCCTCCACATTTAGCTGGAGAAGACAAGGTGGTGAGCAGCATACCTGTCACCAGCTCCCGAGACGTTGACTATCTCATCCCTGCTGATGTGTATGGCGGGGTAGTGGGTGGCACAGAGCTGGGCACCAGCAGCCTGTGGTAGGGGAGGAGGACAGTTAGTGGGAATTGCCCAAGCTGATAAGGCCTGGTGTGGCTGATGCCATCCAGACCTGCGTTGATGCCAAAAAAAGAAAAGTGGGGGGGAAAAAAAGGCAATAAATTTTTTCACATTTTGAAAGAGATCAGCGTTTTAAATGAAGCTTCCTGAAAATGAAGCTTGCACTCATAAATACTCATGTAAATTTAAATACATTTAAAACTCGCCAACTATAAACACTGCTGCTAGAAGCCATCAGTATATGGGCAGATAACTTGATTTTCTTTCAGAGAAGTGTATTCCAACCCCTGAACACATACATTTGCCAGCAGTGGTGCCACATTTCTCAGGACTGCTGCCATGCCACCAGAAATAGCAATGGTGCTTTCTGATCCCAGAAAAAAAGCAACTGAGAGCTCAGAGGTTTTTTCCCATGCCCTTACCTGTTTGTGGGCTCCTGGATGAAGCGAGATGCTCCCTCTCAGGCTCTTGCCACACAGGAGGATGCCGTGAGCACCAAGTGTCACCACCACACAGCACAGGTGGGCCAGCAAAGGGCGGGCCAGGGCCATTGCAATCTGGACAACATCCTCCAACTTGGATGGCAGCTCTTCTGGCAGCAGGGAGGGGGGAGGAAACTGTGATATTACTTTAAATGTCCTCAACTGGCCTTTTTATGGGCTGGCAGTCTAATTATGAGCATCACTACTCATCATTTATGAGCACTTCTGAAATGTGGTCAATATAATTTTCTTTCTTTAAATCATGGGAAACTTTTCATTCTCCAGTATTAAGAGTTCCATACCATCTCTCTATCCTATGCTGAGGAAACCACACCACATGGGACTATCTGTAGAGATCAAAAAACTGTCCTGAAGCATGACTTCTTGTCATGATGCTGTTTGATTTCCACCTGCATGTGGTGGGCTATTTAATTTCCGCAAAGAGTGGCACTTCAGGACTGGTACCCTTACAGCATCATACTTCAGAGACATATTTTACAAACCAGAAATTGTTCCTGTTTAGCTGATGAAGCAAGGCAAATGGAATCTCTGGTTTTGGACAAGGATCCATCCCAGGCCTACTGTGCTCTCTGGCAGATCACCAGTCTGGCTTGGGCCATACAACCCATGCACAGAGGGATGTAAGGTGGAAAACAACAAGAGTATGAATCCCCACTGTGTTATAACCCAATTTACTTGAAACAGGGGCTGGAATGGAAAATTCTCTTCTCTAGGATTTAGGTTATCTAAAAGTGTGACTGACCCTTCTGAGTATTCAATACCTGCTGGCAGAGGGTTCCCGAGGGTCCGATTTATTGCTCTTAGCTCTTGCAGGTTGGGGGAAATGTATGTGAGCACTTTCCAGCTGTCTGAGAGGAATGGCTTAGAGGCCTTGTTTTCATCTGTTGGCTCATAGCACACTTCAAAACAACATTGCAATTGATTAGTTAATTAATTAGTGATTCATGGCTATGTCAGAGCAGGATGCAGTGCAGAAGGCTTAGCAACCAGGGTTATGTGTGTGATCTATTAGAAACTTAAGTACTATTTCCCCAATGCCTGGGACAAGGTCTCCCAAAGGTTTCCTTTCTACTACTCAGCAATGAGGCAGTTGCTTCTGGCCCTGGAGTGATCTAATCACAATTTGGTTTTATTACTCCTCTTAGCTGGTTTTGGAGCCTCTGACAGGTCTTAAGAACACCATCTCCTTCTTCAGAATTTCCTTTTAAAAATGAAGGCATAACTCCAACAGCTTGGAAAGAAGCCCTGTGAGGTGTCCCCCAGCGTACTGGGGACAGGACAGGAGGTATGTATCTTATGGGAAATGGGAGAGAAATAATCTCAAAAGATGCTTTAGCACTTATTGTGAGAAGCAAATGATATTGCTGATCAATCTGGCAGAAGCACACACATTTGCTCTTGCCTTGAGATTAAAGGCAAAGAGAGCAGCTTTCCCTGGCTTTCTGGCAGTCCCCATGGGCTAGAGCACCTGCATTCCAGAAAATGCCATTTAGCTGCAGGGTGAGAAAAACTCAGAGAAAGCAGAAATGTTTTGTCCATTTGAAACAGCAGTAGTAGAGCAGGGAAAGGAGTGCTGAGGAACACAGCGTGTCAGACAACACCTGGGTGTCTCCAGCAAGCAGCAGAAGAGAGCACTCAGGGTGTGTGGAGTGTCTTGGCACACATACTGCTAGGAGCTACAGGGCCAGGGCTGAGTTCTCCTTACCTGCTAGCTGATGCTCTTTAGCTAGTTGGCAGACGTATTGAATAGTGGAAAGAGGCACATTTCCATCAATGCAAATTAGTGGGGCCTGGCACAGATTCTCCTTGAACTGGGACACCTAGTGAAAATCCAGGACACAAAGTAGGGACAGCTTGAGTCATTGCAGAGGGACAAAATGATTACTTGTAAGACTCAGGATGTAGGATTTTCACTCATATTGCAACTCTTTGATGCAGGAATGGACCTAAAAGAGTGATTTCTTGAGGAAAATGGCTTTTTACATTTGCCTCATCTCCTCCCTTTCTTCTCCTTCCCCTGCTCCCTGCCATCAAGAGGTGAACTCAACTGGCAGGGGCCCTCCAGCAGGGAAGGAGAGTTGCTGGTCCACACTAGACCAGTTTGGTACTCATGGGTCAGCCAGACCTACAAGGAAAGAGAATGTTGCTATTTAATGCCACTGTAGGATTCCCTGTGCTATGCCTGGCTTGACTATGCCTTTGCTTGCTGCATATGTAATTTTGATGGTCTCTGTGTACAATGCCTCCTAAGACAAGTTGTTCATCAGAGTATTTTACTCGTGGGTCATAGTGAATCGTGTAGGAATGGGGGACAGTGGAGCAGTAAAGTGGGGAGCTGCTGTTCCCTCCTTTGGGAGGCTTCACAGCCACTGCCAGGCCTATAGGTGCTATAGGTCCTCCTGTAGCATCCCTCTCATTTCTCTGCTAATCCTGGCAGAAAGGAGGACTGCCAAAATGCACTTTGCAGAAGAAGATTGGTTCAGAGTTTCCACTGGCCATGACTGTTTCATAAAGCTCAGGAGAATTAATCTGTCAGGTAATGGTTTTCTATGCCAGGGCTTGGGAGAGGCAGGGTGGGGATGGAAGTGGGAGCAATGACCGGGTTTTCCCCAGGAAGCCTCCACTTCATGGGGATCCCACTGGTAAGTAAATTGCACTTAACTTCCATGTTGCCGTCAGTCATGAAGCACAGGCTTTTGTCTGTTGACAAAAGAACAAGTAGGGAAGGAGGGTGTAGTGACAGGGCTTTCACTGAATCAGTCCTTTATCACTGCTTCCATTAGCCCTGACATTTTGAAGGTTTGGATGTGCTGCGCAGCAGTGCCTGTTGATGTAGCTCAGCATGCAGAAACAACAGGGCTGGTGGGGAGGGGATGGAACAGGAAAACTTGCTTTCATCAGTGTTCTGTCCACTTTTTCATGGTTTTCCCCAAAGGGAGAAATACTATTTCTGCAGGTGGACTGGATTTATTGCTGGCTTTAAGATGCCAAAAATGACGGATTAGCTGGGACTTGTTAATGAAGAGAATTCTGACCTACATATCATGGATGATGATACTGTATGGAGGAGAAACAGATAGATGCTCTGTCTGGCTCAGCAGCAACAGAGGGTAACTCGCCATGCTGCTCAATGGCCAATATCTGGGGTTAACTTTAGGACTTTCCATGTTCCCTCTGCACACCCACTCCCTCCTGAAACAGTTTCACCAGTTGCCTTTTGTCTCAGGTCCACGCTCCTTTTCATAAGAAAAAGCTTACAAATCAGATGGTGTGCATACGTATTGCTCTGTGATCTGCTGGTGGATGTCCATATCTCCCAGGCCAACGCTGAGCTCCCCAGCACTAGTGATCACAGCACAGTAAGTGGCTGTGCTCTTCCCCTCCAGCTGAAGGACAGCACTCATGTCCTGAAAGAGAGGACAGTTATACACAGAGTATGTTTCTCTTCCCTGCCACATTCATCTAATTCTTTCTCTGTGCCTCCTTATCAGTAACCCAGCTTGCTGATCTCCCTTCAACCTCCCTTCTCACTTGAGATAAGCAACATTTCAGAGGTATCTTGGTCTAGACAGTGCTGGCTGATGGCTATTTTTTAATAATTGCAATGCAACAAATGCCACAGGTTAAAGAAGTCATTTAGTGAATGAGAGTGACAGGTCTCTGCCTTGCAATTCCCCAAGTCGTGCCTCTGTTGGAAGGGAAGAGTGGTCTGCAGCACGTCCTGCTCCAGCCAGCCATTCCCATAGCTTGTGTGACCATAGCTTTGATGGCCTAACGACGCGCTGGTGTGTCTTGGTGGCGCGGCCCAGCTAGCGGGTGTGCTAGCCACCTCACTGACTGCACAGCCTGGTTCTGAGGGCAGCCTTGGAGCCATTTTTACAGCAGTGCCACAGAGAGAGCTCTGTGGGTTTTGTGAATGATCTGCTTAGAGAACTAAAGGCATTCCTTGGAATTTACATGTTGATGGAGAAAGTTCAGAGGGACATTTTTAAGGACAGGGTCCTCACCAACAGTAGCAGTAATGTGCTTTTTTACCGTCAAGGATTGCTTGGTGGCTGGCCAGTAAGTCCACCTTCCCTTGGGAGACTGCTCACATTTAATGGCACAAAGTGTGCTGTGTGGGACAGAAGAGAGATTGTAGACCTGATGCTATGAAGCCTTTATAAACCAAAAAAGAGTTCGTGTTCTTATCGCTTCATTTACCGAGTTGTTCAGGTAGCCAGAATGAAGGCCTCACATACTCTCTTTAGATACCAGGGCCCTAAGGGCACTAATAGGCCTTAATAGCCCTGACCCAGCCTCACCTGGGTGCTCTACACCCCTGGCTTTCTTCAGCCCTGCCTTTTCACTGTGGAGAAGCCTGACAGCCTAGGCTAGGGCTGTCCTCCTGGCTGTCTCTGCTCCCTGCTGGGGTGGAGATTCTCTGCTTTGCAGCCCCTGGAGAGCTCCTGCTGCTCCTGGCTCCTGACCTCAGTGGACAAGCTGGTGCTTAATCAGGTATTCCTCTGGTGCACAGTCAGGGGTGTATGTAGCTACGCAGAGGACTCTACTTCTCTGAACTTGGGAGGTGCCTAGCCTGGGCTCCCAATTCGAGGTTTTCTCTGTCTTATGCTTTACCCAAACCAGACTGATTTTGGCATTGCTTTGTTTATCCTCAGGGTCAGAGTTCACATATTTCTGGTTGTGCTTAGGCATTACTAGAATTGTTCACGGTTCCTCCCAACTTGCCTCTTTTTCTCCTTCAAGCATCACTCCCTGGAGCTGCATTCACACCCCATGGTGTGAATACTCCAAATGATGCAAACATCTAACCTGTGTTTTAGGGAGTGGATCCTCAACTTCTAATTGTCTGTAACTAAAGAAGCATTGAATTATTCCTAATCTTAGCCTGATAGAAGGCAGCTCTTAGGTCTGCTACGGTTGAGGAGACTTTTCCCTCTGTATAACATCATCATTTCCATGCTTGTGCAGTATCCCTACTGTGCAACGTACCATGTGGTGACAGTAGTGCAGGACGGACTCTGAGTGTTCATCCTTTCCCACAGCTGATAAAAAGAGAGGTGTCTGTCCAAGACGACTTAAGCAGTCTAAAAAGCAAATGGAAAGAAAAAATATTAATAAATCTACTAGAGCACTGTGAAGACAGTGAAAACCTGTGAAGGATAAGTGCCTATAGGCACTGGCACTCTGAATTATCTGAATTTTTTTTAACATCTGGGAGTGAAGGAAAAGAGGGAAGAAGCTCCTGCACTTCCCTGGCATAATCTCCTTTACCATCAAAGGCACATGGTTTTCCCACATTGCTTCACAGCCTTTCCTGCTGCTGGCTTTCCCACACTATCTTACTAGAACTGCTGAATCTGAATGGGTTCACAGGAAACCCTTCCTCCTCACCTTCAACTCACCGCAAATTATACCTCAGTGGGTGGCATGGGTGGCATTTTTTTCCCCTTTGAGCTTCCCCATTTGTGATCTGAAGTGCTGGTAGCTTTGTTTTAGGAAGATTTAGGAAAGGTCCAAAGATGGAATAAGTCTCAATCTTTTTGGAACCTGCCCCTGTTAATTTTGGTACATGAGCACTGGTCTGCTGCTGCTTGTGATGGAACATCAGGTACAGTATCATCCTTTCCTATTGCCAACAGCTGTAGCCTTCTCTTTTACAGTAATTCCTGCACTTCTTCTCTGCTTGTCTGCGGTGCCCAGATGATCATCTTTGAATAAGCTTATACCTTTCAAATTTTTGCTCAATATATATTTCTATTGTGACTATAGCCTGGTATTAATTCAGTGCTGAGGGCCAAGCTGTTCAGTAGTCATTGGAGATCCCTGATGCTTATTTAACTTTGATTTGGGGTCCCTGTGCTATATGCTAGTTAACTTCATATGTGTGGACCTTTCTCTTCCTGATCCCAACTCCCTCCCCTCTTATTTCTTGGAATGGCCTCTGCCTTTTCCAGGCAGTCTGCCCACGGGTATATTGCTTAACATGTCTCACATCTTAACAGCATTCAAGAGCTCCTGCTGTTGAAGGAATACCAAAGGACAAATCACAGCTGGCATGCACCCACAGGCAAACCCCAGCACTAGGCACCTGCCAAGTTTCTTCCAACGCCGCCAAAGGTTCGTCTCACTCTTCCAGCGTTTGTTTGCCCACCACGCTGGAAGAATAAAATGTTAATTGGCAAAACTGGGAGAGCTGCTTGGCGTAGATGCTATATCTCCATTAGCATGTGAAGTGAAATTGATGTTGCTGAAATATAGGTCAGTAATTAGAGGGAGCAGAAGGCACCTAGCTACCAGATTAAGGGCAATGTAAACTTCTACAGCCATCTACAGACTTCAACCTTGATGACAAAGGCCCACTTCCTAGGAAGAGAAATGTGCTTCGTCTCCCCGTGCATTGCTGTTTTTGGCTTACTTGCTAAGCCCTCCTAGAACAATGCTAATGTGTTGCAGCTGATATGAGCAGCCCCCCGAATTTACCTGCTCATAACAGTGCTGGGATTCCAGAGCTGCTGACTTTGATCTAATGGGCTGCCTTCCAGGCCACATAGCTCCCCCCTTAAGCAGTTTGAAGTTTAGGGGGGATTCTTTATTTATTTATTTTCCTATTTGAAGGTAAAATGAGATTTGTTACCTTTGCCTGTACTGCCTCTGTACTTTACTCATAGAAGACTTTGTTTCAGAGTCTGAATATTTTTTCACTTGCCATTCTCTTCCCAAACATCTCCCTCATCAAAAATACCCTTCTTCTCCACCTGTGTGGTTATCATCTTCTTTTTTCTCTTGCATTTGCCTTCTGCTTCTTTGTCCATCTGTCTGTCACAAACAGCCAAACTGTCAGAACACAAGCAATCCCTCACCTGTCTCCTCCTCCTCTTAATTATTCTGCCAGAAGAATTACATCAATAAGTGCTCAGATCAATTTGGGCATCATCTGACTATCAAATGGTTTCAAAGCTCTCATTTCATAAAATTGAGACATACTTTCCATTTCTGAAGACAGCTTGCCACTGGCAGTTCTAAGTTCTGGATAATTCAGCACTTTGAAGAGCATGTTGAGCACTTGGCTGGCAAGGACTGAAGCATCTGCGTGCCAGTGCGCAGCAGCTCCTGGCCCAGACTCTCTCTGGCCCTTGTTAGCCCAGGTGCACCCGAACACCCCTGCACATACGCCTTTTTCTTGCTTGTGAGCACCACTACCTAACCTAAACAAGTAAATATATTGCCATCTCACAGTAAGAAATATTCTGCATCCCACCTGTCGCTGTTCTTGGGCACTCTCGAAACTCATACTGAAGCTCCCCAAGGACCCTCCCTCTGCCCCCGTGTGAAACTGCATCTCTGTCCTTTCTGTGCAATGCTTTCTTCTGCATCCAGCCCTATGACTGTAAGAGGATGCTTTCCCATCTAAATACGCTCTTTTATTGCTCTCTTCTGATCTTCAGGCTGGTTTTGTTTGCCCTGACTCTCCCCATTTTTGCAGTCTGTAAGACTTGGTGCTAATTCTTGACACCTCTGCTTTTTTTGTCTGGCAGTTCTCCAAGTCCTGAACTGCTCAGACCACCTGAGCAGAACTGCCTGTATATAAGCAACCTATGGCCTGTGTCCATGTTTCCACTACTTGTCACTCCTCATTAACCTAAATGCCCCTCCACTACATTTGTTCATGCTTCCTGGGAATTGCCACTGGTACTGCCAGGAATGAGGTTATTTCCATCTTTAACCATCTACTGTTGAGTGTTGCAGATTTTGAAACCACTGAGCTTGGCAATTTTAACTGTGAAGCTTACTATCCATAATAGAGGCAATCGGGTTGGGGGGGGTGGTGGTGTAGTGAGGAGGGTGGTAGAAACACACAACAACAACAACAACAACAAAAACTTCCAAGTAAAAAGCAAGGATAGTTGTTTAGGCAAGTTAGACAAGGCTTTGAACACTGGCCTCTATTTCAATACTAAAAGAGGGTACTAACTGCTGTCTCTAATGAGCACAAACTCTCTTTTTCTCTTGGAGCTGTCTTCTTCAGCTACAAGACACATCATGCTCACAGGCTCTCTTCCTACTGGGGCATTTCAACTACCCCAATATATGCTGGAAAAGCTGCACGGCGAGCTGTAGGCAATCTGGGAGACTCCTGGAGTGCCCTGATGACAGCTTCCTGCAGCAGGGAATAGACGCCCCTACTCGAGAGGTGCAACACTAGACCTGATGGTCACAAATGCTAGTGAGCTCATCAGGGACATCAAGATAGGAGGCAGCCTGGGCTGCAGTGATCGTGCGTTAGTGAAGTTCACAGTCCTATGGGGTACAAGGGAGACAAAAAGCAAAGTCAAACCCCTAAATTTTAAGAAAGCAAACCTCCAGCTTTTCAAGGAGTTAATCAGTAAGACTCCCTGGGAAATAGTCCTTAGGGACGAGGGAGCGGAACAGAGCTGGCAAATCTTTAAGGAAACTTATCATAGGGTGCAAGAACTTACAATTCCCAGCTGTAGGAAATCAGGTAGGGAAGGAAGGAGACCCGCATGGCTTAGTCAAGACCTGCTGGTCAGACTAAAGGACAAGACAAGACTGCACAAGCTGTGGAAGCAGGGACAGGTATCCTGGGGAGAGTACAGGGACACCGCCCGGTTGTGCAGGGATGAGGTGAGGAAAGCCAGGGTGCAGCTGGAGCTGCACTTGGCAAGAGATGCAAAGGAAAACAGCAAGGGCTTCTACAGGTACATTAAACAGAAGAGGAAGGTTAAAGAAGTCACCACCTCCCTGCATAACAGAAATGGGGAATTAGTAACAACGGATGAGGAGAAGGCCAATGTCCTGAACAAGTTTTTTGTCTCAGTCTTCAATGGCAACTTCTCTCCTCGCAGCTCTCAAGAGGATGGTCCATGAGACAGGGACAAGCCAGACAAAGCCCGTCCCAAATTTTAACGAGGACAAGGTTCTTGAATGCCTGAGGAACCTTAACATTCACAAGTCCATGGGGCCTGATGAGATGCACCCCAGAGTACTGAAGGAATTGGCTGATGCGGTTGCCCAGGGAAGTCAGGTGAGGTCCCTAGTGACTGGAAGAAAGGAAACATCACAACCAGTTTTAAAAAGGGTAGAAAGGAAGACCCTGGGAACTACTGGCCTGTCACCCTCTATTCCGTGCCTGGGAAGATCATGGAACAG